CACACCAATCATGTAGAAAGTTAACTTCTGGCATGTAGATTACATTTCATATCACTGTTTCAACAAATTTCGAAATTATATGCGCGAAAGAACCAAAAATTCTTTTTGCTCATATGGCCCTGAAAGTTGAAGGCAAAAAAAAAGTGTCAAAAAAGTACATTCTTGAAAGTCATTCTTTCTTTCCCCTTGCTACATCAACAAGATACTGATCCAGATGGTTGCCAAATGTTTTTGTGGAGAATGATTGAGCAATGTGAAGTCGAGCTTCTCTACCCATTCCCTCTGCCATCTCGGGTTTCTGAATGAGTTTTGCCATAGCCAAAGAGAAATCTCGTGGACTGGGGTCACAAAGGAAGCCTGTCACACCATTCTTGATTGTCTCAACAGGACCACCACTGTTGCAAGCAATAACAGGTTTACAGGATGCCATTGCTTCCAGAGGAACAATGCCAAAATGCTCATCCTGCATCATTATGTTATCTCTGGTCAAGAAGTTTTATTCAAATCCAGCCCCTTTTACAAGAGCCTAGATGTTGCCTTACCTTTGGTGTATAAAGAACGCACAAACACTCAGACAAAAGTGCATTTCTTTCTGATGTGGAACAAGATGTGATGAAGTTGACTCGATCAGAGATACCTTCCCTTTGAGCTAAGTCTTTAAGTTCCTCCAAATAATCAACATTCTCTCTAAGGCGTTTATCATAGCCACCTGCAGAAAGACGTTGCATAGAATCCATATGAATGGGTTGTGCATGCAGAAAATTCAGTATTTTGTCACTTTTATAAATCTTAGACATGCTTGCGCACTATATATTATGCAGGGTTGATGCCAGCAGCTTGCCATGGTCTTTCATAGTGAAACCCTTCCAGACCTCCCATTAATTTGCATCTTGGACATTAAATTGTATTATTTCTTATAGAAAACTTTAAAGTATGTCCTTTGAATGGACACCATGTACCATAATTGCCTATCGAAATAACAATCAATTTAATAACAAGCTCTCAAATATACCACAGCTTTTTAGGGAACCTGCCACGCAAATTTTTCTAGCTTCCTTGTGTGTAAGGGTGGATCACAGGGAAAGAAAATTGTCTACTTCAGCAAATAGACAGTGAGATCTAATAGGTTAATCTGCCAATAATCATGACACAATATCCTTCCACAAAAGTCTAAGCATGATAAATTTGCCAGCTGTCAACAGTCAATAATTGGTTTTGCATGACACACACATAAAAAGGAGCTACTATGATGCAAAACAATTCCTGACTGCCTCTCATTTACCATCCCTTTGTTTTACACTTTTAAATGGTAAGGGACATTGACCTTCATCTTTTGCCTTTAGAATCTTCAGGAGGGCTTGATTTCATTACAAATAACGCCACCAACTACATCTCGGCCAAAGGTTTATATATTTGCTTGGCTGAGACAGAGAGGTCATAATAGCTTATCTTCTATAACATCAACCAAACGTATGACATCAATACAAAATAAAATGCAAGTATATGACCAAAATCAATGCCATATTGCAATTATTGGTTCATCATTGCCACAAACGCAAAATTGCTTCATGAACCCAAGTATAAAACATTACTTAACTGAATAGCCGAAAAAGCTACAAAAAGCACCACATTTAAGTTTAGACCAATAAAGAAGAAAAGATGACTTGCCTGCAATAGTCAATGAAGCACCATCCAGAATGGCACCTTGTAGTTCATCACATGCAAGGTTCTGAAGCATAGCAAAGGCAGATATTGCTAATTCTATGTTCTTCTTCCTTTCAAACCGATTGATTGAGAGAAAATTCAACCTAGAGAAACGAAAACCTTAGGTTCCCAAATCCCAGAGATATTTTAATAAGGAAAGCAGAAATGCAAATACAACTATGAGAGAGTAAAAGTAGAAATTATAATATGGCATTCATGTTGTAGAACCTAGAAATAAAAGATACCAAGAGAGGAAGCATTGTTGTTACTTAATGGCATTAGGCTCCTTAAACTGATCCAAATTGACTGCAGGGTAAAGTACAGCTGGTCTTATTCCGAATGCATTAAGCCTCTTGAATGTCCTTGCAAATGTAGATGCAGTAAATTTGCTGTTAACAAGAATTAGGTCCGCGATACCTACAGCTCCACAAGGTAATCAGTGGAGACTCAATATACTTCCACATTGGGGTAAAGAAAACGAAGCACAGACTATCAATGCAAAAGAGGCGACATAAATATAAATGGTATGGATAGAGAGAGCAAGAGAGACAGGGAGGATGGATTACCAGTTGTTTTTTCTTCTATAAGGTCAATAGGTATCCGATATATCCTCCTAGGAAGAGTAGTGTGTTGGGCTAGCAAGAGATCAGGAAAATGGCAGTAAAATACAACCTAGAAGGGAAAAAACGAAGAGGAAATATAAAAAAAACCAACTAACTTTATTTTCTTCTGAGATATCCCAAAATAATATCAGTGAAAACAAAATTTTACCTTTGTTGATTTCTTCAACTTCAACAGTGGAATGACAACAGATACCTGATCTACAAGTATAACATCGAACGATCGCCAGAACAGCATCATACAAACAGCAACAAAAATGCAACGGATATATGCACATACTGCATGAAGATGATAGAAAATATGCCGGGGGAGAAAAGAACCATATACAGTAACTGAGAAGATCCCTGGAAAGTAATTACTGCACTCTTAGCCTTTATATTTATCAAAAATATTCATAAAGTCTATGCCCATGACCAAGGAAATATCAGCAATACAAATATTAGAACAATTCCCCATTTTACCAGACAAAGTCTCCTCAAAACAGCGTGTTTTATCATGATGTGACGTAAAAACATGAACTTTATGCCCATGAGCTGCAAGCTCCACAGCTGCATCAACAATTAATCTTTCTGCTCCTCCTAAAAACCAAGAAAATGGTTATTATAAAAAGTTCGAGGGAGAAAATATATTAAGGAAGGCAGAATTAGAAGGCAAAATTGCAGTCCAGCACCATAAACACGTACAAAAAACCAGACTAGAAATTTTATGTATCTTTTCAAGTCTTTGAAGATGTAAATGAATCCATATGTGCACATTCCAGGAGCACTATCTCTGCCTAATTATGACCCACTGGAGAAAGTTTCACCATGGATTAAGTGCAAAACATTCAAAATAAGAAGTACATCAACCCTTTGTTTGTGAACCCATTCTATACAGATGCTACAGATTTATTCTCTCACTAAAACCCCCGTTATTTCTCTAAAGTATATCTCACATAAAGTGTCAACTGTTCAAATTAAATGAAATAGTGGACTTTTTTCCTGGTTTATCAACAGATGCGTCCATTCAGACTTACATGTCATCCAATTTCAGGAGCGAAGACATTCATGAATTCTTACCTAGATGCCATTGCTAAACAAAGAAAATTACCATCCTAGGTCTGCAGACAAGCTAGAGATGGAAAAAAAATCATAATACAACATGTTAAAACCAATGAGAAAAGAAAAAAAAGAGGTCATTGTACTATTGCCGATTTTAACAACCAATAAGCGCTAAACAAACCACTTGATCATAAGTTAGATGAGAATTACATACATAAGCAGAAAGTCATTTCAATATAGTTACCAATTCCAAGATCAGGGTGGATGATAGCCACATTCAACTTTGAGCTCCCTGATTTCTCCATCTCTATTTATCCAGACTACACAAATGAAACCAAAGAACGGGCCATAAAAAAATGGATGCATTCATCAGGACAAGCAATACAATCCAAGCTAAGCCCTATCTCGCAGCATTTTGGTGTCCTTAAAATTCCATTTCTTGCTGCTATCAAAAGAATACCCTTCACATTCCCAAAAGAGCATGTCATAAAGTAACTTCTTTAGAAGATCAAATAAATGGGATATAGCATTGCTAATTTCCTCATCTCACCAAAGCAAGACATCACAGCCATAAATACAATTATGGATGGGTATTAGAAGGGGTTAAGATGCTTTGTACGCATGTTCATGACACCTAATGATTGAATTTTGTCCAGTCTGTTTCGTTCCTAGACAATCTAACAGCAGCTGTGAAATGAAACGTGGATGGAAAACAAGTCAATTCTAAGCTTTTCTACACTCAAAAATACCCCACATTATACGTGAATATTCTCCCAAATGACCGAATGAAAGTAAATTCACAAAAAGGGCTCAGAAAAATTAAGATTCTTTTAATGGGTTAGGTCTCTGAAGCCTATAACAGCAAATAAACAATCCCCCGCACTTTTAATTCGGGAAAGATTGAGAACATGTATATACATCGAGCTTTCAGACCACCATTAAGCAACAAAAAAGAAAAAAGAAAAGCAGAACAATAAGCATCAAGGATAGCTAAAAATCTACCAAATTGGAAAGAAAAATAACAAGAAAAATTTACACACTTAAGCATCATAAGATGATAAAAATCCGACCTTACAATCAGACAGAAGTCCGGACAAGGAAAAGTCAAACCAAAAGAAAAAAGTTAGTGCAAAATGCAAGTACCTGAATTGAATCTGTTTTGCGGGTTCAAACTGCTATTTGGAGTCAGTCACCACACACATGTATATGCATACATGCTGGTAAGAATACAAGACGACGAAGAACAAAGCAACAGAGCAAGAGGAGGAAGAGAGAGATCGCACCCACCTAATTTTGGAGTGAAAATTTGTTTTCCTTTTTCTTCTTTTTTTTTCTTCTTTTCTTTTTCTGTTTTTGGGAGAAAAGGCTACACTTAGAAAATTGGAGGAATCTGGAGGCGTGATCTAGAACCATGATAGCTGAGGAACAAGCCTAAACGTGGAACAGAGGCGTGGTCTTCTGACCATCCAGGAGAGGGGTGAGATAGTCATTTTGATCTAACTTCAATAGGCCTGGGCTAAGGGATTGATGAGCCTTACAAGCCCATTTTTAGTGCCTCATAGGCTTGGGCTAAATCTTTCTAATTAGGACCACTGGACAAGAAAAGATTGAAACTCCTTGCTGGCCCATTTTGGATACACCGGTCACTGGTGTAGTCATCACTCATGCCTAGACTGTGAGGAGTGAGAACTGAGAACCTGATGGTAGATAGAAGTATTGAAAGAAACGAAGAATTACAGAAGAAGAAGATGACTATACCAGTACCAGTGGGAGAAGAAGTGGGGCCCAAGCTGGTTCGGTTTCTTTACTTCATTGGTGCTGGATGTAAGTACATGCACTTCCCTGGGCTTCTATAAAATATTTTGATTTTGTGTAATTCGTTTTTTTTTCTGTTTTTTTTTTTTTACTAAATTCAAGAAAGAAATTTTATGTTTTGCTTTCATTGTTTTGGTTCAGTTGTATGCACTGCAGCTATTAACAAGTGGAGGGATTTGGAAAGGAAGGCTAATATTCAGAAACAGCAAAAAGAGCTGTTGGAAAATCCATCACCAAATTCACATGGCGTACAAAATGCTGTGGAGTAGACTTAGGAATCAAATAATACATGCTCTTCAAGGTTCTTGAGGGCCCTTTTATCATAACAATTGGATCTTTGTCATATGTATTGAATTGGAGAAATCTAGGTGATTTTGCTTTATGAATTGGATGATAAAATTTTTTGGTGATCGAGTATTATTAGACTATCCCGTAATATAAGGGTGTGATTCTATGGGGATAATTTGTCGAATTATATTCTTGCAGTAGTCACAGAGGTCATCACATAAATAATATGGACACTGAACATCTTTAGTTTCCTTTCCTGTGAGTTTTATTCTTCAATCTAAGATGGTGCTCTGATGATTCAGTCGAAAGAAATGCCCTTGAATTATAACTCAGGAATATAATTAATCAATAGAATGTCGTGTTGCTGCGTCAGGTCTCCACTCGTTGTGGTATATTTCTATTTCTTTTCGTCGTATTTTCCTTTGCTTCCCTGTTAGTCTGTTGCCTTGCAGTTTTGGAGCTTTGCTCACTTCTGTTGGTTTGTGTAATCCCTTTTAGAAGGAGCATTCTTATCTGTAGGACCAATGAACATTTGACGGACTGTCATTTAAGGTTCTTATCGTAACTAGAAGGATTAGTGGCTACCAGAGGCTAGGGAATCATGATAGCTTCAACTAAAAAGTTGGACAATGAGAGTGCGAATGTAAAGCTATACTGCATTAGGACAGATATAGAATGGGCCAAGAATTTGATCTTTTGACTACTCATTTACTTGCTAAATTAAAGGACGTTTAATGTTAAGAATTGAATTGAAGTTTAAGACTGATTGACAATAATGATGGACAAGAAAACTTTCAGACTAGTATAAAATCCTTTTTATTCTCTGTGCAGCAGGAGTGTAGCTTTTTTCTTCATCATTCTTTTAAAGTGTCATACTGTAATTCCTCTGGTTTTACCCTGCAAAGGTGCCGTCTTTGATCAGGGGCTAGAATTATCTTAAGTAGCCACTGTTTGTCCTTCCACTTGTGTCTTGTTGAAAAACTTATTTCCATGATTACCATGAGTGTTGATCAAATATTGTAAGGCAGCTGTGCTCACCTTTTTTTTTTTTTTTTAATCCACACGATTATCTGTTGTATATGCATTTATGTTTAGATGTGGATGGTCAATGTTACTCGTCATCGATTCTCTGCATTTCCCTTGGTTGAAACAACCTTGTAAATAAAACTGTTGTCATGGGATGGGAGAATAGTAGACTAGCACAGAGCCTACCTGGTTAACCTATTTGACAGAATTACCTCCTTAAGAAGGTTAAGGAAATAGTTGTAACGTAGATTGTCATGTCAAAATAAGATTGGATCATTTTACTGAATATAGGTATTCATAGAGTAGGGCACGGCTTTACGTGTAAGAGCAATGGTAGTTGGATTTAAATGGGGTTTCTTTGGACTTGCTAATTCTTAATAGGATTCCCTTTTTCTTGGTCATCGATTATGTACTGATTTTCCTGTGAGTATGGATTCATTTACTGCATTAATGCATAACATGACACGATACTAGAATCTACAAGTATTTTGGGTGTTTAAGTAAACCCAACTCTTTTTTAGGACTCTGGTTAGGCAATTGGAATGGGTTAGGATGCTTATTGCTGCTGAAGGACTTCGAAGTGCATCAAATTGATGTTCTTTTGGCTGAGCTAGGATTTTGCATAGCTGGAATGATCTCTTAAGCTCCTTTTGTATTGATGACAATGGGAAGACAGACATATAACTTTTGTAGGATTTGCTAAAGTTGAGCTGGAATAGCTAGCAAGCGTCAAATATTACAGCAAATCTCAAACCAAACAAGCTTGACTTCATAAAAAGATGTTCAAGATTGCAGAAAAGATAAATGAGCTAAACATGGATTATATCAGTTTTAAAGCAATGCTAAATGACATTTAGCATTCTATCTAAAGTACTCTAAAAGAGGGTAGGCCATCTATCGACTGTGTAACCAATAAGTACTGTCTTTGAGCAAGATTTTTCTTTGAAGAACCTTGGTACTTCATCAAACTCCTAATAGAAAGTTAAAGTATGAGTTCGAATTGTAGCAACTTGTTCCAACAAAGACAGTAGTGCCTAAATTGCACTAAAATTCTCGTGGAGTCCATCAACAAATCCCAGCTTCCAAGTGTTGTGCTTTTGTCCTTGGCCTTTCGAAGGTCATGCGAGACAATGTACAATACTTATGACGTCTAGTGATGCATATATTGTGAATGGACTTATTATTCTTCTTTGTTTTGCTCCCCAAGTTGGAAAAGCGACCGCCTTGTTCACATGAAGTTTGCAGGTTTGTGCTATTTTGTTGCTTGGACTTGTTTGTGGATCAAAAAATAGTGCAGCAGAAGATTAGGCCTTGCTTCAAGCATCTTAGCCGAACTTTGGGGAATCAGGGATGGCCTTGAAGTTGCCTTTTCTGTCAATCCAACATGCTTAGAAGTGGAAGTTGATTGCTCTGATCTTATCTATCTCATCAAAAATAATAAAAGTGATCCTAGTATTGCTGATAGCAGGTTCCTCTTTTCATAGTTCCAGGAACTCAAAACTTCCCTACATCTTTCAGAAGGCAAATACAAGTGCTGATAGACTAGCCAGAATGTGAGGCAATCTAGACTCTTAAAGTTTTGTGGTTTTTGATGTTTGTCCTCATGATTTAGTTTCTGATATTCAGGAAGATTTGAGGGAATTTATGTTTTAGGATCCCTGTTTTTACCAAAAATGGAAAATGTCAAAGTAGGTGTAGGATTAAGCGAGGGAATTTCACTTGAGAGGCTGGAGTTTCGTCATAGTTGGTGGACTGAGCAGCCAGTGAGCACAAAATCGGGCCACTAGATGCAAGACAATTAATTAGTCTGAGCCAGCTTTATTGACCTTTTGACTTCAACTTCTCATATTCATTTCATGTGCCACTAGAGCCCATCGTTTCACTTCCATTTACCCTAAATATTCACTGCAACTTCGGAAGAGCCCGTTCGGATTGGATTTTTTAGGAGTTTTTTTTTTGGAGAAAAATTATTTTAGCACTTTTTTGGACGTGAGCATATGAAGTAAAAAAAAAAAAAAAAGTGATTAAAAATCTCAAGCATTACATGATGAAAGCTTGGCAGGTTGTGAAGCTAGCTGTAGGCTGTAGCTGCCATGAAGACTGCAGAACCAACCACTCATATTCTTCCAGGTAACCCCAATGCACGCTCCTCCCCTTCAGCAATGATCAACCCACCACCGTTTCCACCCCCCATTACTCCACAATAAAACCTCCCCTATATCTTTTTCCTCCAGGCACCTTATTTCCATAGCTAATACTACAGAAAAGAAAATAACAAAACCCCGAATCAAATGAGCTTCCAACGGTTTTATGAGACCTGGTTCGAGCAGCTCCACCAGCTTATGAACCAACTCAACCGAGCACCGCGTCAGCCAACGGCGGAGGAAGAGAACCACCAGCTGGTTCAGAAGGTTATGTCCCACTACTCCGAGTATTACCGAGTTAAATCGATCGTTGCCAAGCAAGATATCCTGTCAGTCTTCACTGCACCGTGGGCCACAACCCTTGAGCGATCCCTCCATTGGATTGCCGGCTGGCGGCCCACCACCGCCTTCCACCTTATTTATACTGAGGCCAGCATCCGTTTCGAGTCACAAATCTTTGATATCCTACGTGGGCTTCGTAATGGGGACCTCGGTGACCTCTCCCCAGCCCAGTTCCGCCGTGTAAGTGAGCTTCAATGCGAAACTGTCCGGGAAGAAAATGCTATCACTGATGAACTCTCTGAATGGCAGGCATGCAACTGATGAGTTTTCTTTCTTTCTTTCCTTCTTTTTAATGGTTCGATTTCTTTTCTTTCCTGCCCAAAAAAAAAAAAAATTCTTTTCTTTCCCCACTTTCATGTACTTTCTTTCGGGTGAAGTAGTTGCAATTTTTTAAGATTTTACTCAAAACTATCTCTAATTTACTTTTTTCAGCATTGACTTGTAACATTTCCCATGAGAAGAATTTTGATGATTCATGCATCAGTTGAGCAACCTTGAGTAAATAGGGAAATCCCCTTTAATCATGTATGCTACAAATAAATGCATCCCACATATAGCTTCGATATTTCACTGTAAATTTCAATGCTCGAGAATACTGAATGGGCATTAGTTTGTTAATCATGATATATCAAATAAATTCTCCCCCAAATGATTTTACATTTGAAGGCAGCTTATCTTATATTCAGCTTTATTTTGTTGTTTAGATGCTTATTCCTTACATTTTCTGCATTGGTAGAATTAAATTCCTTATCTTGAAGGCAACTTATATTGGTTAGTTTTCTATTTTGAAAGCATCATCCTTTAAAATTGCCTGTTTCATCTCCCTACTTTCTGTTCCAAAAAAAAAAAAAAATCCTTACCTTCTTCATAGGTGAAATTGGTTTTATTTTCGTTTCCCTTAAACTTCTAGAAAAGGACTTTATAGACGTCTTAACGGATAGATGTGTGGACTGGTGTTAGGATGGGGCAAGTGATTTCGTGGGAATGCATAGCGATGGTGATGGTGGAAAGATGGAAGTGCTGGTGAGAGTGGTGGAAAAGGCTGATCAGCTGCGGCTGAAGACTATTGATAAATTGGTTGAGCTGTTCACCCCACGACAAGCTGCAGAGTTCTTGATTGCGGCCGCCCACCTCCAGTTTGGTGTCCGAGCATTGGGTGCCACTTATGATCGTCGACTCTAATGTTATTGTTGCAGAAGTATTGCATCAATAAAATTAGTCCTATCTATCAATAAATTTGAAGCATCTATCCATCTCTTGACAATATTTGAGTTCAAAAAATCGATCTCTTGACAATATTGAAGGAAATCAAAACCAAACTTTATTTAGTAATTGCCAAACCGCAGTATGGTTTATTGTTTGTGTCCGAGTCCGTGAGTGTTTATATTGGTTTTGATAGTTACCTTTTAGTTAGTTTAGATTGGAAGTCCTAGTTTAACCAGTAGTTATTATTTGTTTCCTTTCTTTGTGTCTAATTAAATTGGCAATTGAAATCTTGACTATACCACAATTTAGGATCTGTTTGGCAAGGGAGGGCCTGTTTGGCACCCTAGTTTTTTACCAAGTTTTTTAGCTACTAGTTTTTTAACAACTTTTGCTACAGGAACCCCAAAAAACTTTTCAAAGTTTTTTACCTACACACTTCAAAAATCAATACCCAAAAAATTTCTCAAAAACTTTTCTTCCTCCCTCACCCAACCCATCACACCAGACACCGCCTCCACAACCTCTCCCGGCGCAGGTCACTTATTCCGGCGCCGCCGGTAACCTCAAAAAAAAAATTTGAATTTTTGAGTCCCTCACCCTCAAAAATTTATTAAATATATTATATATTTATATATTTATTTAAACATATTATAAATATTTTATTTTATTTAAAATATATTTTTATATATTTATATAAATATAATATACCATATAAATTAATATTAATATAAATATGTAATTATACATTTATATAAATATTATATATTATATATTTAATATATATAATACATATTATATATATTACACATTTATGTATATATATTTATGTATATTTATATACAATTATATTATGTATTATGTATAATATAATACATTTATACATAATATTAACACACAATATTAATTATACATTTATACATAATACTAATACATTTATATATTTATATTAATTATATTAATACATTTATACATAATATTATATATTTATATATTTATAATATATTAATTTATATATTTATATAATATTCATTTATAATAATATACAATTATTACAATTGTAAATATATTTATATTATGTATTATATATAATATAATACATTTATATATTTATATATACCTATATAAATATATTTATTTATAAATGTATTATAAATGCATAAATATATATAAATATTTGAACAATATTAATTATACATTTATACATAATATTAATATATTTATACATTTATATTAATTATATTAATACAGTTATACATAATCATCATATATATTTATAAATTATAAATTATACATTTATATAATATTCATTTATAATATATACATTTAAATTAATTATACATTTATAAATATATGTATATTATGTATTATATATAATATAATACATTTATATATTTTTATATAAATATATAAATATATTTATTTATAAATATTTATAAATGTATTATAAATGCATATAAATATTTAAACAATAAAAATTATAAATTATAAACAATATTAATTATACATTTATACATAATATTAATACATTTATACATTTCTATTAATTATATTAATACATTTATACATAATCATCATATACATTTATAAATTATAATTTATACATTTATATAATATTCATTTATAATTTATACATTTATACTAATTATACATTTATACATTTCTAAATATATGTATATTACGTATTATATATAATATAATACATTTATATATTTTTATATAAATATATAAATATATTTATTTCTAAATATTTATAAATGTATTATAAATGCATAAATGTTTAAAAATATAAAATTATAAAAATTATAAATTATAAACTACTCAAAAATATGTTTTAAAAATACCTCTAAAAATAATCCAAAAAATGTCTACAGTAACATTTCAAAAACTTCTACAAAAAAGTTTTTCACCTTAAAAAAACTTCTACAAAATTTTTTCAAAAACTTCTACAGTGCACTACAGTAAAGTTTTAGACAAACTCCCAAAAAACTCAGGTTCCAAACAGGCCCCGAGATTTTTGAAGAGTTGAGTTGAATCTTAAAAAGTGAATTGAAGAAAGCCTTGAGAACTTGTTGAGTTGAGTTATGAGATAGGGGAAAACCTCTCAGAAATGTTATTTGTGAGTTCTTGTAAGCGAAATGTTACGATTTGATATTGTTATTATTGAATGTTAGAGTTAATAAAATGGATTAATCTTTCCTACACTGACAGTGTATACACTATCAGCGTTGGATGATTGACAACTATGCAAAATTTGAATTTGAAATTCAACTGTTGCACACATGTCATGAATCCAACGATGATAGTGTATACACCGTCAGTGTAGGAAAGATTTACTCTAATAAAATTATTATTGAGTATTTGTTTGTGTGTTTATTCTCTTCTTCTTTTCTCATATTTTTTATATATGTTAAAATGACTTCCATTGTTCATGATTTTTTGTGCTAATAAGTGGTATTAGAACTTTGAGTTTTAATTATGGGGCTTATTTGCGAAATTAATGCTCAAAAATAGAAGATTTATTGTTGAAAATTAGGACACAAAATTGGTCCTAATTGAGTAAAGTTTAAAATTTTGAAATATGGATTTGTATTATTTACAACATTATGCTATTTTTAACTTTGATGACAAAAATCAATTTGAAATTTAAAGTATGACAATGAAGGTGTTTTTTTCCAAACTATAAGAATTTGGGATATTGTTCAAAAAGGGTTCATGAAACTTGCAAAAAGCATAGAATTATCCAACAATACAATTAAATAGTTGGAGAAAATTGACAATTAGACCACAAGACACTTCATTATCTCACTACCAAAGTCTAGTTGCATGTATTCAAAAAAATTCATGCATATAAAAATGGCAAGGGAGATTTGAAAATTTTTGATGAATTCTAATTGAAGTGCACTTGAAGATAAAGAAACCGTGTTCCAAAAAAAAAATTGCAAGTGGTTGAAAAAGAAAGTGAAATTATTAGTGAAATTAATGATATGATTGAAGATCGTGATGAAGTAGAAATTCTTGATTTTGTGGGAGTTGACGGAATTATTTGAAAAAGAAAATCAACTAATTGAGTTTGTAGAAAACAATTATAGAATGAACGATTTAGTTGACGATTGTGGCAGTGCTAAGATTGATATGGCTGTCAATGTGAACCAAACAAAACAAAATTATGGGGGTGTTGAAAAATTTAGTGATGGTAACCATGATTTTGTGATTTTGGAAGATTTTATTAGCGATAAGGATGAATTAAGTTTTGAAACATTCAATCAGACATGGGCGAACATGTTTGAATTTTTTGATAAAGGTGATCAAATCAAGAAATAATTCAAGAAGTACAAGTTTCTTCACTGCCACGTGTAAAAATGAAATTGAAAATCAAATATAATTTGGCATTTCACGTCGTTTATATAACGATGGAATCATCCCTAGCGATTCAAATTCGAAATGGAATTGGAGGTGACCACATGATGAGTTTGGTTTGAGAGAGATAATAAAATTATGACTTGATATTATTATTATTATTAAGTTTTAAGTTAATAAAATTATTATTGAATATTTGTTTGTCTAAGTCCATTCTTTTTGATATTTTAGTTAGCTTTGTGAGCTCCAATTCAACACTTTTCTTTGAAATTGCGGTCCTAGGAACTTCTTTTTTTTTTTTTTCCTCTTTTTTCTATAGTTGGGGTGACGTGTCACGTAGAGGTTTCATGCGTGCATGCACGGCAACACCTGTGTGCTGATGAGTGCTCATTCGCCATTTGCCAACAGAAAATTCTGCAGATGACTCAAACAACCACCGACTCAGGGGTCAGCTTAATTACTCAACTTGCCAGTTCCCACTTGACAGGATTAACTTGTCTCGCTCGGATTTTTGTGGCTGAGATGGCTCTGGTAATCAGGTTCTGCTGCTTCATCTCTCTCATATATAAAAGAAAGCACCAGAAATATCAGGGTAGGATGTCTGGCATTTTCAACCTTTTTCTTTCCTTTGAACAAAATAGCTCAGTCTTGAATTGAATACTGTGAATTCTGGCAGCATATAGGAGATTAGAAAGGTTAACGTTCCAACGCATATCTGGCTTCCACTCATGGTTTGTGAAAAGACCATCTTGATTCTTGATACGGTTAGAAATGGCAGATGCTTTTTCTAACACGTAGAAATCTATTGTTAGATACATGATGCATCAATTAGCAGATCAACACTATAATCCCTAGAAGATTATCGTGTCAATTGTATATAAAGAATCTCGCGAAAGACATTGTTGTGTGGCGTATCAATTTGCCCATACTTGTGCACACAGCCACTTGGTCCTTCCCAAGACGACGCAGCAGTATTTTACTTCACATAGTTATCATATGCAAAGTCCAAACGCGCATAGCCATTTTTTTTTTTTGGAAGGGTAAGCGGGAGGTCTCGAATTCTCCAGACTTCTCACTTATCCTTCCTTCTTCCGTCGTATCATCAAATCTATTTCTTCTCCGGGCATACACTTGAAACCCCATAAGAGCAAACCCGCATGGTTTTATAGTATTCCGTGCATTCTTATATATTCCCGGAAGCAGTGCCTAAACCTTTTTGAGAATATGTATGAACTTTAATTGTGCGTTTATAGATCAATACATAAATGTATTACCGTATGTGCATTTATATAGATGAGAGAGATTCAACAACTAAAAAAAGATCGATTCTTTTGTATTAATTGTATTTTGCCCCTTCAAACTTGTATCTCATCTTTATTTCACATCATAAACTTTAATTTTGGACACTTTTTATACAAACCTCTGAGATTTATTCCATTTATGTCCAACCAATAGTAACACTAGTAAAACTAACGAAATAAAGGATCGCTCATACAATGTAGTCTCAACTACTCTACTAGGTGCTAGTGTATTGATCATGTGGAAAAGTACATTTTGGCTACAGTCTTCGCATCTCTTATGGCTAGTTTAGGAGTTTAGGATGGGAAGGAAAAAAAAAAGGATAATATCCTAAACCTTCTCTGAGATTTTTCTTAATATCACTTGGCACTCCTAAGATTTTCAAAATATCACTTATCTCCCTTACTTTTGTTATTTGTGTAAAAAAAATTTTAAAAATCCTAAACTACTCTTTCACTTGCTAAATAAAAATATTTTTAATCTACTTTGTTCACTTTA